AAGGGGGAGCTGGAGTGGGGTTCAGGACATGTGATCCTCAGTAGGGGTTGGGGGAGCACAAGGCAAGAGATCCTCAAGCAAGCACAGGGTGGGCGGAGTTGGTGGGAGCCTAGGGTCCATTCCGGGAGAAGAGATACAAAGGGTGGACCACAGAGGTGGGTGTGGTTGGTGGTAGGAGTCTCGGGTCCCTACCTGGAGACGAGACACTAGGAGTAGGTATAAGGTGGAGGACTTGAGAGCCGGGTGGGGCTGCAGGCAGCACAAGATCTCCAGGTGAATTTATCCCTCTTCTGCGGCTCTCGTTCTTTCCTGGACTGTGGCTCATCGGTGCCAGCTACCGGGATGGGGCTGGAGGTGAGCAGGCTGCCTTACATTGTCTGGTTACAGACAGGAGCCAACCCTGCCACCGTGTCTCTCCTGTTCCTTTCTTAAGTTGCTCCCATAAGTGATTCTATTACAGAGCATCAATAAAATTAGCTCACATGCATAGGGGTGTGCAACTGAACCGTATACCTTAAAATGGTTAAAATGGTAAATTTTATGATATGTATTTCTATATCTATACAAACCCAAAATATTTTAATGGACAAAGTGGGGGTGGGGATAGCATAGATTAGGCTTTTAATGCGTTCCTCAGAGTTCTGCAGGCTCAAAAGTCTAAGATCTAATGAATAGTGCCCATTTCCTGGATCAGGGAGGAGGTCTTTGTCCTCCTATGGCATAAACAACCTCCATATGACTTCTTTTATAAAGGTGCTAATATCACTGGAGTCTTAGCCATCTAGACTTAGCCACTCAGCTCCCAAAAATAAGTGGGTAGAAAAATCAAAGATAAAACAAGAAAAAGAGATTGAATCTTCCAGCAACCATACTGGGCAGACAAGCTAGAAATTCAGCGACTGTCTGACTACACAGAAGAAAAGGCACAGAGGCAAGACTGGAGGGGTCCCTGTAGCCCAGGGAGTCCCACCGTATGGAGGATTGCATCTCTGGAGGGATCCCTGTACATCAGGAAGTCCAACAGTACAGAGGACTGAATCTCTGGAGGGGTCCCTGTAGCTCGGGGATCCCACAGAATGGAGGATTGCATCTCTGGAGGCAACTCTGAGTGGTGCCAAAGAAATTTCTGCTCCTTCAGAGATAATTTCCTTGGGGTTTGCCTAGGGCTCATTGACCTGGACCAGCCTTTAGTTCTTCAACGAGAGAGTGGACTAGGGGTTGTGGAGATACGAAAGCTGGGGTCAGAAGGTTTTTCTTGAGCTGTGTCTTGTGCCAAGCAAGTTTATTAAGATGTACAGTGTCTTATAGACTGTTTGCGGAGGGAACAGGCTATAGTCAACAGAAAGCTAAACAAGTAATGTTGGCAAAGAGAACACAGGATCTCAGACACAACTACCTTAGGACTGAACTCCAGTCTCTTCAGGGGGAAAGCCAGGTTCCCAGGAACTGAAACCTTAACCAGACCTTGCCAAGTCTGCCCTGCAGGCAAGGACACAGTTAGTGTTCTCTTTGTCTTCTCATCAGGGCTTCTGAGGGAGGGGCCTGGCTCCCAACAGTTTATCTATCAGACATGTAATTCTGGAATTTCAGATAAGTGGAAGGAAAGAGCAGTTCAGAGGACAGATCAGGAAGATACCAAACCGAAGCAGGTTAAGCCCTGGGGTCCCTTTCTCCACTATCAAATTTCCCCTCCATTTCTAAGCATCTTCTCCATTAACTACTACTTGCTGATGAGGGTGATGTGAGGATATAGGAACGGAAGACACTCATAGGATAAGAAAACTGCTTCTTTCGCCCCTTCTGTGGAGTGAAGTGTAATAGAAGCATTCAGGCAGGCAACTAGAAGGAACATCCATGTTCTAGATGCAGCAAAACAGTACTAGTGAGAAAGAGAAAAGGCAAAATGGTGCACCGAGCTTCTCATATTCCCACTGAGCTCAGGGCCTCCAGAAAGCTAGTAAATGTATTGCCACTGATCTATAGCCCCAGCAAGAAATATTCCCATTTATGTAGAACTTTTAAGGTCAATTACTAAAAGGAATCATCACCAAGACATCTGTGCAGTCAAAATACATAAGGCCATCTGATGGTGCTGGTGGTGCTGGTGGTGCTGGTGATGATGATGGTGGTGTTGGTGATGGTTGTGATGATGAAGGTGTGTGTGTGTGTGTGCACATGCACGTACATGCACGAATGCATGTGAGTAGCTCTTCCTATCCGGAAGCTAGGGGTCAGCATTGAGTGTCTTCCTCTGTCACTCTCTGCCTTAGTTGTGAGGCAAAGCTGTCACTGAAGTTGTAACTCACTAATCAGACAGACTGGCTAGGCAGCAAGCCTAAGGGGTCCCCCTTCCTCCACCTTCTGTTCTGCAATGACTGTTGTGCTGCTGCCCTCGGCTTTTCACAAGGGTGCTCAGGATCGGGGTTCAGCTCCTCATGCCTGCTAGCTCCGTGGTCATCGGTTTTATGAGATTGAGAGAGATAACAGGAATCTACACTTCCCTTGGAGATCTGAGCAGGTGGTAAGCATTGACAGTGTGGTTGAAACCAGTTAAACATTATTTAGTGTTAACAATAAGATCTTTAAGTTTATATAGTAATGACTCCTGATATTTATTTTTCTGTAATTGAGGAAAGTCACTGGGTATGAGGCCATTGACTCTTTAATTTAATTAGCTATTGGTTCCCTCGCTCTGATTTATTAGAGCTGGCCTCATCTTCTTACCCAACTGGCTAACTTAAAATGTGCCGTTGATAAGAAGAATGCAGCCTTGAGCATGTGTGCTGAGTTCAAGACAATGCTGACTCAGGAGAGAGTCTTGTTAAATGACATTGTATTAGTCAGGGCTCTCTAGAGGAACAGAATTTATGAATAAATCTCTCTCTCTCCATACACACACACACACACATTATATATGTATGGATACACACAGACATAAAGGTGATTTATTAAAATGACTGACAGGCTGTGGTCCATTTAATCTAACATGACTGCCTATGAACAGATGGTCCAAGAATCCAGTAGCTATTCAACCCCTGAGACTGGATGTCAGCTGGTCTTCAGTACTCCCCAGAATCCTGAAGAAGTAGCCTCCAATACCAGTGAAGGGTTGGACTTGCTAGCCGAGGTGAGAGCCAGCAGGCAAAGAGCCAAGGCTTCCTTCTTCCATGTCCTTATGTAGGATTCTGGCAGAAGGTGTGGCCCAGATTAGAGGTGTCTTTCCACCTCAAAGATCAGATTTAGAAGTGGATCTTCCCACTTCAAATTAAGCAAAAATTCCTCACAGGTGTGCCACTGAATTTTGGGGTTTTAGTTAATTCCAAATGTAGTCAGGTTGGCAACTGGGAATAGCCAGCACAGCCATTTTCTTTTAAAATGGTGCTTGCCTTCTTTATTTTTACCATTTTTGACAGAAAAGACAGCGTATCTCTTTTACATTCCCCACAGCCTAGCTCCAGGTTCCATAACAAAGACTCTCTTTTAAGAGAATAAGATGGAGAGTGATGGAGCAGCACACACACACACACACACACACACACACACACACACAC